GGGGGTGTCGGTTGTTGTGGAGCGAGAAATCGCGGGGTCGGGGGTTCCAAGAACAGTGCCCAAAGGCCCGGGAATGTCGAGGGGGGGTGGAGGCGAGGTGGGGGGTATCGGTCGATTTTGGGGGAGAAATCGTAGGGTCGGGGGTCCCAAAAACAGAGAGCATAAGGCCCTGGGGATGTCGAAGAGGGGGGGAGGGGGGCGCGATGTGGGTGGTATTGGTCGATTTTGGGTGAGAAATCGTGGGGCCGAGGGGTCCAAGAACAGAGCCCAAAGGCTTGGGGATGTCGAGGGGGAAGGTGCTAAGAACAGAGGCTACCTTTGATGGAACGGACGGGGCCAGGTGGGGGGGCGGGAAGGGGGGCGATGGTCAGCTTTGGGTGACGAATCTTGGGGTGTGGGGCGTGGTGGGCCACAGCGGCTCGACGGGGTGGGGGTGCCAGGGCGCGAAGGTGGATATCGCTCGCTGTTGGGCGAGAGATGTTGGGGGCGTGGCTAAGCTTGGCCACTTTCCCGCACGCGCCTCTGGGGTCGGCGGATTTACGTTGTGCCGACAACTGGTCCGCGATATGTGGATAAGCCGATTGGCGAAGGGCCCAGGTACAGGTGCCGAAGCCTGCTGCCAGCGCCACGGGGCAGACACGTTCATCAGAGCATGTGTCGGGCCGCAGCCAAATTATTTTTACACAAGACAAGCTGGGAAGGTAGAGAGATGCTGCGAAGGATGGCAAAACAAAAAGATGGGGCAATCCAACTGGAATTGCGAGCCCCACGCCCCAAGAGGACCCTGGAGACCCCCAAGGGGCCCCTAAGCAGCCAACACTGGCCCCCCAGAGGGCCCCGAGAGGCAAAAATGGCCGCATTCCCTGAGTAAAACGTACATGTTAACCGCATTCGTGTTTTTCGTCTTCGCACCGTGCTTGACAGCCTCGGGGGCCCCTACGATCGCCCCAACACGGCCCAAGAGACCCCGCACAGGGCGCCAACACGGCCCAAGAGGGTCCCAAGACAGTCTTAGAGGCAGCGGAGATGGCCCGAACGGCCTCCCAAATGGCCCCCGGAAGAGCCCGAGCTGGGGCAATCCAATTGGAATTGCGAGCCCCCCGCCCCACGAGGACCCCCTGAGGCCCCCAAAAGGCTTCCAAGCAGCCCCCAAGAAAGAGGCTTCCAAGACGCCTCACAACACGTGCAATTTGTCCCCCAACAGGGCCCCGCGAGGCAAATGGGGTCCCGGTCTGGGGGTCCCAGGGCCGGAACCCTTACCGCAAATGTGTGGACGGGGGCTTTTGGGTCACTCTGAGACTCGCAAGAAATCATCGAGGCGCTCCAGCATCGATCCATGACTCCCAAATTTTTCCCCCGCCAGCCGAAGAGAACTCCAACACGCCCCAAGAGGCTGCCACAACGCCTCGAGATTCTTCGAAGACGCCTTTTGAAGAGGGGCCCGAGAGTTCAAAATCGTTGATTTCCCATTCGTTTTTGCACGATTTCTGCTCTTGCGCCTTTTCGCTTGTATGGTGCTCCAAGATGCCCCAAGAGCATCCCAAGACCATCCCAAGACGGCTCAAGAGGCCTCCTAGAGGGTCTCAAGACGGCGCATGAAGACTCCAATGCAGCCCAAGAGGGTCCCAAGACGACCCCAAGAGGGGTCCAAGACGGAACGCCCGATTTCGAGAATGCGAGCCTGTCGCCCCAAGACGCACCAAGAGGCCCTGCAGAGGCGTCGGGCAGGGCCCTGCCCTTCCCAATCTTAGAGCCCTGCCCCAGGCAGGCGCCCTCTCGGCGAGCTCGGGCCCGAGAGCTTGCCGATGCGGTCGGGCCTCTGTCGCCCCTTTTGTCTCCTTTTGACGCGATGTCACTGCGTTGCGCCCTCGCGGCCGCCCTTCCTCTCCTTAGTTTTTCCCTGACCACCTCGCGCTCGGGCCG